TATATATATACTGAGATGTATTGGCATGAATACGAATCTCTGAAAACTAGTTTGTTCGCCACTCTGTTGTTTTGTTTAAACTGTGCTCTGTGGGGCTATTTCGACGGATATATTTTTCGTAGTAAAAGTAAAATTTCTGAGACTGGCAAAAATATCAGCAAAGGTTTCGGTATTTTCATCAACTGTTTAGTTTGCTATGTGTTACCATACAAATCCTTCCTACCGAGATTGATTTTGAATGGACGGTGCACAGAACACGCGTTGGTAGAATGAGCAATTCGCCTAATATCTCCAGGGATGGCGTGTTTGTTATATTCGGGGATAGACGAATTCATTCCCACCTATGTGTGAGCTTATTTTAGCGAGTGGTGTACTGCTTTCGCATGCCTTTAATTCTTTCAATCTTGTTTGTCTATTTGTGGGTTGTTCGAAATGGTCACAGTTTGTTTTTTGTTCACTGGTTTGATTATTGAATGTGCAAAGCAACTGTGATATTCCTATCTTTATACTTTCGTGCACAAAAAGCCTGATGTTAATCAGTCGGGGAAGCTTTTCGGATTAATCAGATAAGTTCAAATAGTTTGTGACAGTGATCGAGCTTGACAGACCAATACGCTATACCATACCATTCAATACCAAACGCTACTCTATCATATATCATTGTCCTATATGATTCCATCTCTAACGTGCCATGCTTAGTGTCTCGCAGTATACCATATTGACGGACCATGTGATTGTGCTNCTGGCTACCTTCATGACAGTTGGATGATGCTTAAAATCATGGCACTAAATTTGTCTGCTATGGCCAGGGTCATAATAATATGGGCAGGAAAACCAGCATGTATTTTCTTGTCGAGTTTATTGGTAGGGATGCCGAAGAAAACATTCTTACAGATGCATAGGAAATAAACGACGATAAGTATGCAAGTTATACATGAGAATGAAACAGAACATTCAAGGTGGAAGAGGATGTTCAAGTGTGTCATGACAAATCGGAAACAGAGTAATTTCTTATAACTAAACATTGAATTTTCTATTGAAAACAGGGATTACAAGCACAAAATTCATAAGAACAATGACAATGGTCGTAATGTTGTTGCTATTCATATCAGCCGTACCGTAGATAATTATGTACACTGAATGTTTCTTATCGAGGGGTTTTTCTTCATAAATCTTCATCGGGGAGAATGTTTGCCAAACAGGAAGAACAAGGGAGAAGGAGAGAGAGAGGGAACAAAACGAGACAAATGAGAACTAATGGTGCATATCCTTTTCAGATTATACAACAGAGAACAATTTTTCACTCAGGGCATTCCATGACAACAAGAGGTGCATATTTTTTTTTAAAAATTTTAAACGTTTTTTCGCATCATACTTCTGGATTTCGCATGCACACATAACCAATACGCATCACCCGATGACATGGACGATTCTGCCAGGATAGACCGGGGTTGGCCAAAACACAAGCCCGTGGTCCCCTACCGTTCCCAGTTGGGACAGAAACATCGGGAAAGTCTCCGTACGGAGTACGGCGAGGTACTCGAAACACGTGACCGTACGGCATGGCCACTTTTTGCGAGTACATATCATTCTGTATACGGAACACTGATTCCAAGTCGAGCACTCGTGGAGTCACTGTGGGACGTTTCGGTCGTTTCGCAGGACCAGGGTAGGTAGTCCGTGTCTTAGTCAGATCCCATTTTGCATTAACGGGGAATCCGGATTTCCAATTCGTGTATCCTACGCGTTCTAAATTGTGCCAAATCCAGATACTGCCAGGATGAGGTTGATGAAGACCTACAAACAGGAGGAGGAAAACAACTGCATTGCTAATCTGTTGTTAATTCGTGGAGAGTTATGTGAAATTTTGCTTACAAAATGCTATTAGTTAGTGGAGGAGTGGGTTAGATGGTTGATTTGGACGGTAAGAGGGGCTTAAGAGTGGTCGTGATCGGGCGATATCGGTCATCGTTTTTTCCCCTCCTAATTCCTGCACATTGTCTGGCAGCCTTCTAATAGTCCCAATTCTCTTCATGAATATTAATAACACATGAATTGTGCGTTTAAATAATTAATGAAAATACAAAAAATGATTTAATACTATATGATATATGATAATAAGCCGTGCATCGTTAATTTCTGCCGAGTCAATAATCACAGAACTTATTAATGGTCATATGAAGTCTTGTGTGACCTTTGTCAATAAGATTCTAAACGACCCTTCCCATCCTTTGCACCTTGACTTATCGTCTTATCGCTCCCACCCGATCATTTGTTCCTCTTATCGGTATCTACCCTCTCGAACAAACATTTGTAAGAACTCTCCTGTACCATATCTGGCTCGAATCTTGACCAACAAGGGACGAGCTATAAATGACTTACGTCAATCTTGACTTGAATAAATCGAACTTCGGAGACATTTTTTACACAGCATTCTATTGGATTTGTCTGTACCTCTATATTTTCTCCGGTGTGCCGACCAGTTTACAATTTTTAACTGGAATGTAAGCATATCTCAGCTTTCAAAAGTTATACAGATACAAATACAAAAATTAGTGTTACTGTTACAGTTGGAACGAAGAAGTTCCACTTTTGTTCTCTGTATCGTTTCCTTTATCTCGAAGGAATGCCACAGAATGAATGGCGAATTGTATCTTTCCCTCAAGCATTCTATCGACTTTCTAATAATATTCACTTCGCATAAGTCAGAAAATGTAGTTCTTTATTTGCCGAGTAAGATATCGAAATATATTTCCAAGTCTCAAGTGACTTTTCCAGAAAATAGTCGACAAACAAGGGAGAAATAAATCTTTGGATAAAATATTTAGCGCTTAGAACTTGTTGCCTGATTTCACAAAATGGATTCTTAATGAAAAATCGGGGGTTTCGAGGTAACTCCTAGTGCAACTACGTGCAAGCCACTACACTACCCACTGTCAACAAATGACTCACTACCTATTTTACGCTTCCCTAGCTTCGTCCACAACCAATTTCCTCATGTAATTCATCTCTACTTATAAATTCATAAGTAGTTGAAAATTACTCGTTTTGAGATACCAGAGTTTGTTTCATGCAGACATACCAATCCAGAACGCATTCCTTATCTGGAAAGTATCTCTTAGCCATGTTGAGTGTCGATCACTTGTAATGCTAGTCAGAAATGCATCTTGTCGTTCGCATTGTGTTCTTGCTTTACTCCACGATGTCGGAACAGAACCGGGAAAGTATCGATAACACCGATTTTCAAAATAGTGCCAACCTGAAAAGGAAAACAGAAATGCCGATGTTTACCAAATGAATTGTGGCAAAATACGATAAAGTTAGTTCAGCAGTTGAATGTTCTTAAAAAGTACATAATCTAACGACTAGGTGAATTTCCGAAGTGACTATCCCAATAAGTTGAAAATTCCAAAATGTACAAATGACCAAAAACTGGGAAAATTGTGATGAACAGCTATTTTAGATTGTGAAATATAAGTCGACAGTGTTGCAGAGTAAGATGTTTAATTCATTCAAGTTCGTCAGTACCCAGGCTTGATGTGTGGGAAGACAATAAGCCGCGCGTCGTTTCACGTTGCTTCTCCCTTAAAGTAGCACTTTGTGACTTCCGCCTCACACTCTATCGCAGAGCGGAATGTTTTAGACAATCGTGCGCGAGGGGGCGTGTGTGTGTGTGTGTGTGTGTGTCGACCAACAACCCGCTTGCTTTCGAGTGAACTGGAGAAGAAAAATTTGGGGATAGAATAAATTCCGGATTATTCTGTGTCGATTTGGACTAACTTGTCGGTATATAAAAGGCTTTTGTTGTTCTTTAGCCAATGTGTTATGCCGCGCAATCCATTTTTATAACTGGATTTTTTGTGCTAATTATGTTCGGATTATTCCTGAAAATCGCATTAGTGTTAACGGTAAGTTAGAGTGCTATTGTTAGGGGAATCATCTCTTCCGGATGGTTTTAGGTCCATTGTGAGGATCAGTGTTTTCGTTATTCTATGAACTATGACTAGATACCACAATCTAACCGCACGATTGTTAAAGTAGGCTTTCAGTGAAGTTCAATTGACCATTGAAGTCAGGGCAAAAATATATCTGTGTCGTTGCGTCTGATTTAGAGCAAGAGGAACAAAGTGTGCGCTGTGCGCCCTCCCGAACGGGGCATCATCAATGTGGGGCACGCTTTCCCCAAATCTCTGGGAAGTGTGTAAAGCGTTCTCTTTCTGGTTATTGTTGTTATTTAAAACAATGTGCTTCATTCAAACAGAAAAGAAAACAACAAATACCTTTGATACATTTGTTTGACTGTTGATTGATTAAGTACTGCTCATAGGAAGCACTCAAGGTTTGCGAATCCGGCAACTGATTGGTGGCTAGCCATTCGGCCAAACTGATGGGTTTTCCCAAGGGTGTTAATCCGCCGGACTGAGTTGTACTGGTCACGCTAAGTGTGTCCGTATACGCACTGTTTGCCGTATCCTGTTGCGACTGATCGGGATGGTTTATCAGCGCCATGGATTCCTGACCGGGGACAATTTCATCCAGAACAGCCAAGTCTCGTTTCACAGGGTTCTTTAATGAGAGAAACAGAAAGAAATCGGAAATCAGTAGAACACGTGGTGCGTTCTGATCTGTTGTCGTAGACACTAATGTAGTATCGTGTCCAAGGTTTCACTCCCCAGTCTTTTGAGAAAAAGTTATCACCCTAACCGGAGTCAGTGGTTTAGCTGCTGTCACCGGCGTGTTTTGGACCCTATGGTCCGAGGTTCGAGCCCCGCCACCGCCACCCAACTTTGTGGTAGGCAGCTC